AATGGAGAGTTGAAAGTTTGAAAGTTGATTTTGATTGGAAAATGATTGCAAAAGTATACGGTTACGACCGTTTCTGATACGTGTAACGGTACGAAACGGGGAGTTTTGATTGGAAAATGATTATTGTTTCAAAAAGTTGAATGGAAAATGATTACTGCAAACTTTCGTTGATTGGAAAATGATTACTCCAAAAATTTGTTGATTGGAAATTGATGATTGCCCTCGTCGGACCGTACTAGCGGCCGGGCCGGGCGGCCGGGCGGGGCCGGGTACGGTCACCGGTCACCGGTTGTTTGAGATGTTTTTTCAAACACATCTTGACAGTCGTCTGTGAATCAGAACAAGACTTTCTTTGTTTTCCTCTTTTCCTTTTCCCATATCAGTGAGGGAGGCCCGCCCGAGGCGGGAGGGAGGTAGAGGGAGAGAGGAAGGGGTGGAGGAAGATAGGGATCGGATGGAGGGGGTGAGTAAGCGGGAAGGCGGGAGGGGTGTACTGTAGTAATAGAGGGCGGAAGGCGGGAAATCTTTGTAGAGCCACAAACCAGGTACCCACCCCTCACTTCGACAGATAAACTTTAATCTTTTATTGACTGAAAAAGAAGGGCAAACCGGAGCAAACAAAGGAGGGGGAGGATAGAGCCTACAAACAATCATAACACGGGCAGTTAGACTTCGGAAGAATTGATTTGTACCGGGTTTGCAGGGTACTGATTTTCAATTAGATTTTGAATTAGTACCAAGAAAATGGACAAGAAGGATTTATGTAGTTTACTGTATCACAAGAATTAGGAATTTCTGAAAATCGAACTCCTTGAGCTCAGTATCCTACCGGCTTTTGCTTTTTTCATGGACGGTGGGTAGTTCTCCCCTCCTCTCCGTGGCAGCCATCCTACCAAGAGGCCTACCACGAGGACCTCCCTGAGCCGCTGGCACTACTGCCGACTCTTGCCGCATGCAGTTCCAGGGCGTCCCCCTCCTCCTCCTCCTCCTCCTCCTCCCGTCTGCCATGTTGACGTCTGGAGGCTGGGAGCACCTGGAAACCTTGCGTCACTTTGATCCAAGGAATAGTTTCGAAGCCATGGTAACAAGTAGGCTGCTTCCGACGATAGACGTGGATCGGATGCAGTACCTCCAAGTGAATGTAAAGCTGGCAGAAATGTATAAAGACGGGATTACATGCAGCTCCAGGGTTCAGACTTTCCAGTCGCTTGCTCGACGAGTGGTCAACCGTCATACCTGGCTGTTCCCACATCTTCGGCTCACTTTGAACTTCAAGCACGAACCCCAGTCGCCGATCGCGAGTGGGGTAATGTATCAGGCGGATTTATTCTTGCAATTGAGACAGGACACCAACCTTACTGCCTTGTTTCATCGTGTAATTAGCAATCAGGCAGAAGATGTGAAATCAGTGGGTCTCTGCGACCTATCTTTTCACGAAGTCACTGTGAGGAAGGGAGAATGTGTTTACTTTGAAATCACAGAAAGCCCTGACGAGCTTTTCAACAAGATATTTCAACTGGCTAGGATATATGAAATGAGGAGAGAGTTTCTTGGAGAAAAGACCAAGATTTGCGCTACTGGAATTATCATGAACGGTGGAAAATCCCAATTCACCGAGACGAGCTTAGTTGCGAAGGAGTTCTTCAAAAACTTTCTTGTCGACGCTGATCATGGGCCGGTGGTGGAAGTGGGGTTGAGAGATGTTCCCTTTTCCTGGGTTATACTCCACAGAGAACCGTGTTCAGCACCATAGAGGACTTGAGAGACGAGCTACAAACAGAAATGAAGGAAATGAAATCAGAAATCAAGAAGGAAATCAAATCAGAAATGAAGAAAATGAAATCAGAAATCAAGAAGGAAATGAAATCAGAAATGAAGAAAATGAAATCAGAAATCAAGAAGGAAATCAAATCAGAAATGAAGAAAATGAAATCAGAAATCAAGAAGGAAATCAAATCAGAAATGAAGAAAATGAAATCAGAGATGAAGGAAATCAAGGACGATATATCAGAAATCAAAGCCCTTTTAAAGCGTCCTACTGGTGGTGCATGATTCGTGATTGTACATTGAGTAGATCCGATCGCTTCAGGTCATACTACTCTAGCTGGATGTTGTATTCTGGACTCATACCGGACGCCCCTTGGACGTAGCGTAGGGAAATAGGATGACGATGCAGATTCCTGCAGTGGTGCTGCTGATCTGATGAGTGTGTGTGCTTAATAAACAGAGATCGGCACTGGGAGTCGTCGGAGGCGTTCTTGAAGGTGCCGACAGGACAAGCCTCGCAGCCGCCCGTCGTATTCCTCTGCCTGCCTGCTCCGCACTGCTCGGTGAAGACGATGTTGAAGACATGAGACGCGTTGAAGTCGCGCAGGAACTGCTGGCGGTCGAAGGTCTGGAGGAACGATGCGAAGAAGCTGCGTGCTGCTGTGACCTCCAGGTGGCCTTGACGACGGGAGAGGAGGAGGGAGAGGGCAAGGGGGTTGTGGAGGGAGGAGTGGACGACATATCGGAGGAGTTGAAGGAATCTGTGGTGTAGACTGTGACGTTGCCCTGCTCGACCAAGGTGTTGGACTGAGTTCCCCCCACCAGCGCCGAGGAGACGAAGTGAACGAGTTCGAGAGAGAGGAGGAACAGGAGGAGAGAACCTCCGTCAGGTTGCCCTGGAGGTCGAGCGTGAAGGCGTCCACGTCCCCCGAGGTGAAGACTTCCGCCAGCACGTCCACCACGTCGACCGTGCACTCCGAGCTCGCAATGTGGGAGAAGTAACCGGGGTTACATTGCGCACAGGCCGTCATGCCAGGCTGAAAGGTGAAAGTGAGTCACACACTGGCACGAGCCGATCGTGAAGCTCCCCACTGCAGCCGTCGAGCTGTGGGGGAAGCAGTCCTGACAGTTCACTGCGTCCGTCTCCGTGTAGTTGGGGGGGTTTCTCTCGGTACGATCCCTTGGGGCAGGAGGGACAGACGATCGGACCGTCCCGTTGCTGGAGGCGTAAGTCCCGTCCCCGCAGACCGAGCGGCAGGTTCCATTGCCCGTCACGTTCTTGAACGAGCCTGCTGGACAAGGAAAGCATCGGAAGGCAGCTTCAAACACGTAACCCCCAGCACAGATGCAGCTGCTGGTGGCTCCCACCGACGTCATCCCCACCAGGCAGTTGGTACATGCCGAGCTGCCCTCCAGCAGCGAGTAGGTTCCCACGGGGCAGTCATCACAGGCCTGGAAGCCCATCAAGCCCTTGAACTGTCCTGCCGGGCAACCCTGGCAGTCGCTGATGTTTTTGCCCGTGTATCCTGCCTGGCAGGTACAGTTGTCTTGCGCAATGCTGCCGACGGGGGAGGTAGATGGGGCAGGACAGGCTTGGCAGGATGAGGAATTCACGCCGGCATAGCTCCCTTCGGGCCAGGGGCGGCAGGCAGGCGTGTAGCTGACTTGAACTCGTGCAAGGAGGGAGGGGCAGGAGCTTGTGTTGAGGCTCGACCCGTTGATCCTCATGCTCAACTCTGAGTTGGGTGCAATGTCAGAAGTCTTGGTGATCCACGTGTGGACGTCAAACTCAGTGCCAGTTGCTCCCGAGGTAGTCGCGAGACAGCTTCTCAGTGAACGCGAACATGGAGAAGGAGGCTGCGAGGGAGTAACCACTGGCGTTATGCGGGGAAATGTAGATGGAGACGTTGAGCTCGGAGGTGCCGGACAAGGTCAGAGCTGGGAAATTCAGAGAGCAGGGTGACTGCGACGTCAGGTTCAATGCACTCCTTGACTAGCTGCACCAACTCCGAGGAGAGGAGGGGTTCGCTGCCTGCTGGGCAGCTCAACCCTTGCGCCGGGAGCACGAGCCATGCAAGCTGAAGGAACGACGCGTATGCGAGGACCGCAAGACCTCTTATCTCTTCAATCCTCGTCCTTCTTCATACCTGCGACCAACCACAACCATGGGCGCGTCTACCAGTCAACACTCGGCTGAGAGTACTCAGAAGAGGTGATACAAGTCTAACAAACTTGTGCTCCGTCATGTCGTGACCCAGGCTCAGTCACTCGGAGGCCGGGCCCCGCCGGGCCCGGCCCGTATCATAGCCTTCACAAGTTCAAGGACTCAGTGGGAGCCTCGGCGGATCCCGGCCCCTCCCAAACCGTTAACTGATATCTTTACTTTATTGGAAGCCTTCATGGGATCCGCCCCATGGTGTTTTACCCGAAGATGCAGGAGGCGGAAGCCGGGGAGGGGAGCAGGACGACAATGCAAGGTTGGCCGCCATCGCATGTAATGTCTACATGTCACACTCGGAACGGCGACCATGTACAGAAGCATGCTCATGCATCTTGCTTGAAGGGGCTGTTGCGAATAAGGACGAGTATGCCAGCTAGAGCAGGGTGATGAGGTTGTGGGGCATGGTTACATGGCGCCCTACCTCGTCCTACGCCGCTCTGCTGATTATCTTGTGCATGTTGCATCTACACACAGATGCTTTTCGCAGCCAGCAACATGGGAAAGCTGGAAAACTGATGCAGAGAGCGAGTGCAAGCGCCGTCGACATGTCGAGATGTTTGCTTTCTCTGAGAGGAGGCGCAGCAAAGAGGAGACAACCAAGACATAGACTTGACAATGCTGAGGATAGTTCGAGCAGCGAGGACGCCGTGATCCGAAGTTTGCACAGGAGGAGGCAGCTTTCTAAGAAGAAACGAGAATGCTCAGACTCAGACTCCCAACAGAATCATGGCGGTAAACACGACATGCACGGCAATGAAGAACAGAAAGGAGGCTATGGGGGTTGGATGATGATGAACCCTACGGTGGTGGCCGAAGCTGGGAAGGGTGCTGGGAAGGCAGCAGCGGGAAAAACGAGGAGTTTGCGCGCTGAAAGTAGCAGGGAAGAGAAGCGAGCAGCGAGAGAGAAGAGAAACGAGACCTTGTCGAGAGCTGTTCCCTCTGGTCCGAAGAAACTGTCCAGAGGAGGTAGTAAGGAGACGGGAAGAGGAGCAGGGGTCGTGAAGGAGAGGAGGGAGAGGAGGGAGAGGAGTTCTATCTATGAAGAGTGGGCGGCAAAGTCATGGAAAAGCTGCTTCTTCTACCGCAAGAGTGCGAGGGTGGAGTCAAGGTACCTCAACGAGAGCTTAAAGCGCGATCTCAAGCGCAGGAGGAGGCACTTCAGGTGGGAGGAGGGAAGGGGGGGGAGGGGCCTCGCCTTGTTGCATCCTGGTCATGACATTGTGCTGGGCAGCCAAGGCGGGATGCTCCTTCATAAGGCAGTCGGGTCGGTTACCAACATCTTCGATCTGCTCGCTACTCTCTCAGTCCGGGTGATTCCGCTCGAGGTTCAGGTGAGCTGCTGGATGTCTGCAAGTGCTGGTTGTGTCGGCCACGAGGCTGATCGAGATGTAACTGAGTGAAGCCTTACTCATGTCCTACTGAAATGTCACTGACGTATGGCTGATGTATGGCTGACATCTGACGGTTTCTGCTGTAGGACTACAGAATAGAGTGGAAAGATCCCATGCCTTTCTTCGATTATGATGAGAAGTTCCGCATGGATAAGATCAAGGTTGAGAACGTTTCTTCGCTTCTCTTCCCTCGCTACTATTTGCCTCGTGTATCTCGTGCTCCTGCTCTCCACTCCACTCCTCTTCCATTCTTCAACTTTGTCTGCTCAAAGATCATTGTCTTCCTGCTTGAAGATGAATGTCATGGAGGGCTAAGGGAGTCAAAGGACAACAGGAGGGCAGTGAAGAGGTTAAGATGGAGGAGAGAAAGACAGAAGGGAGGATATCAAAGAGCATGAACTGCAGCGGAAAAGATGCAGACAGAAATAGAAGATGCTGGTGCTGCTGGTGTTGTTGTTGTTGTTGTTGTTGTTGTTGTTGTTGTTGTTGTTGTTGTTGTTGTTGTTGTCACAACTCAGAACTCTGGTTCGTTGTTCA